AAGTGTACCTCTGGTGCAAATTACTGACCTCTGTCATCATTTTAAGTGGGGGAACTTGCACAATCGGTGGCTGACTAAATACTTTTTTGCCCCACTGTATTCACACAGTCCTTACCTTTTTCCATAACTCTTTAGCATCACCTGAGGTACTCTTCTCTATCTTCACAGACAGGGTTTCCCCAACGTTCTTCACAACCTCTCCAGTGGGACTCAGACTTAGGTCCAGGTCTGGCAACACATACAACAGAAAAAAAAGAGTCAAGTAAGTTCAATTCTGTTAATTTTTAAAAATTTATTTCTTTACTGTTTATTTATTGTTTTATCACGGTATAGCACTTGTTGTTCTTTAGTGTGATAGCACAGTTTCATTCATTTTGGCCGTTTTAGGCCAAAGGAAAAAACTGCCATTGATTCAGTGTGTTGGCTCTCACTGCGGTAAAGTGTCATTTTCTGTTCCTGTTACCTGTTTTCTGAAAACTTATAGATGACGTCTATTTCACAGTGTAATCATCCTGTGCTATCCAAAGCACACTCTCTATTGATTCACCTTCTAATTATATTCATAGTATTCATTCACCATGTCGCCATTTGCCAACTTTCTCTTAAGCATTCACATGATTGTTATCCTGCTGCACATTTTTGGCACTTAACTACTTCCACATACTTTGTGCTACAAAAAAAGTTCTGATACCAAAATGTTCAGCTTCCTCTGGTGAGGTGTGCTATTACTTTTTATTGTAACTTTTAAACTTCTTATGATTTTTAAAAAAAAAAAAAAATCCTCTTCAAACCCACCCTACATTGAAACTTAACTACTTCAGCATACTTTGAGCTAGAGAAAAACGCAAAACTTTTAATGGGCCCCAAGACCTTTAACTTTTCAGGTATTACTCGGTGTTTTGATATCTTTTACGGTTTTCAAACAGTAACAGTTTAAGTTTATGAAGAATTAGATTTTTCATTGAATGTTCCCACTACTGCATGTTGACATTACCAACTGTAAAGACTGAGGCTGGAGAGTAGTCTGAAAAATTGTTGTCCTCTTTCATCCAGTGTCATCCTCACTGAGATAAGATTTATGGTTCTCTCTAAGAAATGTCACCGAAGCGCAGCCTCCCCCATCCACCTTGCCCATAGAGGACAATGTTAAAACAGCACCTAAACTTCAGCTGTGGCTGTTTTTACACCTTGTCCAGCAGACAAGCTACTATAGCCCAAACTGCTGAAAAACTTAATTCTGGTTCTAAACCAGTTAGGGTTATGTCCACCGCCTAAAGCACCAACAACGGGCACGTGAGCATCAGAAATGGACAATGGAGCAAAGGAAGAAGGTGGCCAGATCTGATGATTCATATTTTCTTTTGCATCACATGGATGGCTGGGTGTGTGGGGTAATAATAGGATAATAATAATGATACAATAATAACACTAGAATAACATATTCATACTCATTCAGTGTAATTAATCAGTGATGATTAAGTATGTCTGTAGATTGAGCTAATTTGCACCTCTGAATATTTTAAATTTATGGATATTATTTTAGCTGGAAACATATTTAAAAAAAACACAACCCAAAAGCATCAGTAAACAAAGTGCCTTGTTATAAACAGGAATTAAAAAATGTTCACTCCAGGTGGGAAACATTATATTTTGTTTGTTCTGCCACAGTCATTTGTCCTTGGTCCTTTGTTATGTTATAGTATGCTTTAGCTCTGGTTATGTCATAAGTACTCACAACTAACAACAATGTTCTGGGAGGCCTCCACTTTCTCGTTGTCAACCAGTGAGCATTTGTATTCACCCGTATCCTTTCTGTTGATGGCAGTTACAGTGTAGTTGTCCGAATTTTCAACCAGCACTTTCGTGCCCTGGTGAAGAGCAGGAGTTAAGAGAAATACCATTAAAAAAAACAGACAAAAAGACAATAATAACTAGAAGTACCACATTCACTCACGGGGCACTTCATTAGTTGGACCTTGACAGTATCAGGTTGGACCACAGAAAAGCCTTAATCATCATAAAGGAATGGCCATAGTGTGCAAAAATACTCAACTAGGCTGTGGCATTTGAAAGATGCTCAATTTGCTATTAAGGGGCCAAAAGTGTACCAAGACAATATCCCCCTATTATGCCAACACAACTAGCCTGAACAGTTGATACTGTTCTGTTTCAAGGTTTGTAGTGTTGCACTTTCAGAAATGCTCTTTTGCATTGCACATTGGTTACAATAAGTGGTTATTTGAGTTTCTGTTGCCTTCAATCAGCTTGAAGCATTCTGGCCATCCTCTAACCTGTGGTATCAACATAGAATCTTCACACAGACATTTGCTGCTATTTGTTGCTCACTGTATACTTTCTCTTTTTTAGACCATCCTCTGTAAATTCTAGAGATGGCTTTGTGGGAAAATTACAGTGCTGCTGAACTACTTAGACCAGCCTTTTTGGCACCATCAAACGGCACATTCAAGGACACTTTTTAACCATCTTTCTTCCCCATGTTGACGCTCAGTTTAAACATGAGCAAGTCATCTTGATCATAACTACATGCTTAAATACATTAGGTTGCTGCTGTAAAATTAGCTGATTAGTTATTAGTCTTAATAAGTAGCTGAACAGATGTGATAAAGTGGTCAGTGACTGCATATTAAGCATGCATTAAGTACAATATATGTCAACCAGTCAAGCTAGAGTTTACATTTATGTCTGTCAAGATTTTTATAACACCAGTAAAAACTCAACTAAATTTGAATTTATCAGGTGGGTAAATAATGTGGCATCATCAGTTATTACATGTGGTCAAAAAATGATCTAACCAAAACTCCACCTGAGATCATCACATTTTGGGAGGTCCTCTGACCACCAAAACCTGAAAATCTTGTGTTCTACGTGAACATAAGTGCCAAGTCTCTTTTGACCGTTTGGTGGATCAAGAAACATTTTTACTCATCTGCAAGATAAACAATGGGATCTGGCTCACCTTAATGTGAAAAAAGAAGGATCTAGGTGGAGGGTTGCCATCAGCAGTACACTTTAGTGTCACATTATCTCCTTCTATAATGGACGGCTGTGACATAATCTGGAGAGTAACCTGCTCCGATGGATCTGTAAATATGAAATATTATTCAAAGACACCTCCAACTGACGAATAGATAACTCTCAAACTGGCTCAACTCATTTAATTGGTATAAAATAAAATTATTATTATTATTATTATTATTATATGACTGATCAGTACTTTATCTACTGAGCGATAGGTATGAACTGAAAGCAATTCACAAATATAAAATTCTCCCATGATGTAGTCCCAGCAAGGACTTAATTATCCAACAACCCCCTTCCATCTAATCTAACATTCCAGTAACAGAAAAGACAGGAGAGGTGAGAAATGCAGTAATTAGGATTAATCTGTGGCTAAACTGAAAGTAAATTGAACATGGCAGCTATACACTGGTCAAAAGTTTTAGAAAACCCCATTTTTTCAATTTTTTTAAATTTTTATTATGCAGTTTAATGTCTCATTGCACGCTGAAATGAAAGCATAGTAAAACTAAACAAATTCAGTGGAAAAAGAAATCATGGAATCAATTTATAGACCAAAATATATTCTAACTTTGGAGTCATAAAAGTAGCCACCTTTGGCACATATAACAGCTGAACAGATCAGTGGCATTCTTTCTACAATAGAATCAAATATTCTTCAGAAAGTTCTTTCCATATCTGTTGCAGACATTCCCATTAATGTGTGGCACTTGTAGGTTGCTGTGCTTTCACCCTTCTGTCCAGTTCATCCCAAACTAGCTTGATGGGATTTAAGTCTGTAGACTGTGCTGGTCACTCCATGTTTTCAAGCTTACCATCTGGTTTGTTTTCCTGAGGTAGTTCTGGCATAGCTTGGACTTAGGTTTTGGGTCATTATCTTGCTGTAGGATGAACCGCTGACCAACTAGGTGCATACCAGAGGGTATTTCATGGCACTGCATAATGCTGTGGTAGCTGTTTTAGTTCAGGGTGCCTCTCACTCTGTACAAGTCACTGAACCTGGATCCAGGAAAACAGCCCCAGACCATCACACTTCCTTCTCCATGTTTGACAGTTTGACAGTCCTTTCACCTATTCGAAGGCGTACAAAGATCCTGCATGATGAACCGAAGATTTTAAATTTTGATTCATTGGTCCATAATACCTTCTTCCAGTCTTCAGTAGTCCAATGGTGGTGTTTCATGGCCCAGGCAAGTCTCTTTGTCTTATTCTGATGTCTTAGCAATGGCTTTCTTGCTGTAACTCGTCCAGTCAAACCTGCAGGTCGAAGTCTTCTCTTCACAGTTGAAACTGAGACTTGCTTACTACGACCACTATTACATTATATTATACTATTATATAACTATTATTTTAAATAATAAATAATGTATTTTTTTATCCTCTGGCAGTTCTCTACTTACCTTTTTTACCATTTTAAGCTATTCATTGGACTTAATCGCCTTGCATTGTGATAAATAACTGGAAAGAATTGGTGTTCTAAAACTTTTGACTGGTAGTGTATATAATAAAAAAAATATTAGACAGAAAACATCCCTGAAATGCAAAGAATTTTACATTTCCTCTTGTCAGATTTTAAAATTCACAGTTTGGTTTGCTGTTCCACACCTTTGAAGGGAATCTCTTAAAAAACATGGTGCATGAGTTGAAGCATGCAGTTTTACACACTATGGAATTTCTTCCAAAATTTTCATTGGATCTTATCTAACAGCAATGAAAGCATTTTAGCCATTTTCCTAAAAACCTTAAGCATACAAGTATTAAAATTAAAATTACTTTGTGGCAATGTAGCTCTATATGAGAAGATGGAAAAAACAGATTTCATATAGTTGTAGTACAGTGATACAGACAGATGTCAGCACTGCCTTCCACTCACAGTGAATGGGAAAAGGTTCCAGCTCAGTCTCCTGATTAATCAGTGTGTGTGTGGCTTCACAGGCAAAGATTGCATCAGCATCCTCTTTGGTGGCTGCATATTGGAGGGTGGAGAGCATGGTGGATAGGCCTGTGTCAGGATCCAGCTTCAAGTGGTTAGTGATCACAACAGCTGGAAAGGCAAGATGACAACCACACCAGACACATGTACATACCCACACAGACAGACAGACAGACAGACAGACAAACAGTCAAAGACACACAGATTTCGTCAGCTGTTACTATTCCAACATTGCTTTGATTTAGACAATGAAAGTCAAGGACTTTCCTATTAATCAGAATCAGAATATTTTATTAATCCCTATGGAAATTATGTAACATTTATTTAATAATTATAATGTATTACTGTGTTCCTTCTGACAAGTAAGCAATGAATTTTATCATATATCGTTTTAGCTATTCTCTTGAATAAATATGATGCCCTCTAGAGGGATATCTATGACAGCAACTTCCCCAGTGTAACTGGATAGTTTACAGGTGACCGTAAGGGAAGAAATGCATTACATTTTTGATCATCTTTCAAAAGTTGTCCATTTTTTCTCCACTTGATAGTGGCTGGAGGGTTTGCTTCTGCCACAACACATGTTCCAACCTAAAAATGAAAGAAAACAAAACATAAACAATTATACACCAACTTGCATTTTTGTCACACTTAAAGGTTTTAGATCATTAACATCCCAGATATGTCATATGTCAAGTACAGCAATTTTAACAACTGCTGACATTTACTTGGACTCTCTGATTGACCTTTCTGACTTCTTAGGAGTGGATGTGATTCATCACACAGCCACTCCTGGGAAGATTCACCAGCGTTCTAGGTTTCCCCATTGTAAATAATAATCTCTGTGGTTTACTGGAGTCGCAAAGCCTTAGAAATGGCTTTGTAACCCTTTCCAAACTGATAAATGTTAATAACTTTGTTATCAGAGGTTTCTTTAGATTGAGATTGATCTTTTAATTTACTTAAATTTGTCAGAAAAGTTGTAAGTTGCTACTTAAGCGATTTCTTGATGCAACTGGTATGAAAAAAAAAATCAGGCCTGGATATGACCAGTACAACTGAACTCAGCTTTTAAAAAACAAAACAAAAAAACTGTGGTTAATCGTAGTTTATTCATGATTTAATGAGGGCCGAGTGGCAGTTAGGTTTGGGTAGTGTTTCTCCCTTAGTAAATCACCATTTAAATATTTACTTGGTTCTTTAGAACACTACTTAAAGCATAAAAGACATTATTCCTAAATATATTTCCTTCCTACTGCTGCAATCATGGTGGTCGGAGCTAAAAGTAGAACATGGTTAAGTTCAAGAAAACATCTAACTTTTAACTACATAATTTCTAGAAGTTAAACGTTATCTAGATAAACAATAATATCTGAGCTGCAGTGCCCCTTCCTCTTCAAGGACAAGTGGACCAAAGCTATACCAGCAAAATGCAGCATACATATACAACAGAAAGTGTGATTGTAGGGGCCAAGTTTTCCATTTTTTATTATTTTTCCATCAGTTTATTTTCCTTTCATTAGTCACATCTTATGTAACATACACATTCAATACTGCTTGGAATTTCTTTTTTCCCCTACTTCAGTTGTTTATACTATCTGCTATGAAAGTTTCCTCATCTCGGCTTAAAAACAATTACTACTTAATGCCTGCAGAATGGGGTGTTCATTGCAGGGTAGGTGCAGATGGTAGCATGAAACTTTGCACACCGATTTTGGTGTCTCATGTGTCGCACAACACAATCTTTGTGGTGTGTTGGCTAATTGTGCACATCTTGATTTTTTTAACCTTGCATGTTGTGCTGCAGCCTCCGCAGCTGGGCTGAAGACAGGAGTATACAATTGTTTCGGTTTTTACTAACATTTTAATGATAATACAGCACAGGAGCTCAGGAATATACAGATATGCAGAGGGAGATGTTAAAACAGTTAAAACTGTTAAAACTTGCAAAAAACCCAACCAAACAAACAAACAAAAAAAAAAAACCACTCTACAAAGTCTTCGCTTCTAGTTTTGACTATAGTCCTCTTATACTAGCCCTTATGTAGCTGTGTTGTCTAAGTCACGACAGCTATTGTTCAGGAGAATATGGCAGCTGCTTTCTGTGCAGTAACAGTGTGTATAAATACAAGTTTCTGTGAAACATGGTTTTGCAGAGGTGAGCGGAGCAGGCACATTCTGGCCTAGAGATAACCAAATAAGCAAGTCATTTCAAATTGAAAAAAGAAATCTTATGAAAGGTCTCTGTTGTAAAGACAGACAATGTAATTTTACACATACAATGTTACAATGATGCCACTGGTTACTGTATAATATGCTTTAGATGTTATAAAGCTTCGTTTCAGCCTAGTATAAACCACAAAGACTTGTCTAAGCTGATACTATTTCATGTATAATGCTGAAGCAAGCTCTTAGTACTTTCACAAGTAAAAACCACATTGTGACAAAATTAGACGTGGCCTTCAGAAGGAGCAGTCTAACAGTGACTGTCAACAACAAAACCTGCCTTCATTACAGTCACCTTCATGGCAAAACAGACATTGACTGACTTTTGTGATCTAATGAAAATGCTATAAGAACAAGGTCATGCTTTCTGCATTCTCCACCACTAAATCTCTCTCTCTCTCTCTCTCTCTCTCTCACCTAATACTGCATAACTAGATTTTGCAAACATTTCTGTATACACAATTCACGCTGCATCATGGAACAACCTGACACATCTGATGGACAAACACTGAGACTTACCGCTGTTAATTTGTCTTTCTGTAATGATTCACTTTTGTCCATAATCCGCACTGGTGATGGCTTCTCTGCAAACACAAAAGGACAAAATCAAGGTTTCGAATTAAATTCAAATTTTAGATTGCATCAAATTACAACAAAAGTTGCCGTAATATTGTAAAGTAAAGACCCTAAAATAATACAAAGAAACCCCAACAATCAGACGACCACTAATGAGCAAACACTTTGGTGACAACGGGAGGTAGTTTTTCCTTTTTCCTCAGCTCTTTTTGAGAGAGTGGCACGGTTGCCCTTCCGTTTGTCTTTCTTGGTCTCTTGTGCTCTGAGGGTCTCTGGATGTCTGGAGCCCAGATCTCCTCCATACCTGCTTCAGGAGGACAGGGCTATGGCTCCCCACACCCTCTAGCAGATCATTACATGAAGGAACCTTTCGAATACAACGCGCTCATGCTCACAGGTGTACACACGGGTGCTCACAGACACAAACTACACCCTTTTTGGCTCCTACCTCAAAGCACACTGTGCGCTGTCAATCTTACATGCTGCACAATAATATTCAATATTTAGTATTTATCTTTATATTCACATAGATTATTGCAATGATGTTGTTTATTATATTGCTCTCTTTTGTTTTTGCTTGTTTTCTTTTTTTTCTTTCTCAACAGGTGATCCAGGTGATTGATATATGTATTTTTTGTCTGTTTGTTTTGCTGTTTTTTGCCCTTTATCACTGTTCCTCTTCCCCACTGTTTTTCTTTCCCTACCTCTCTTTCTTTCTCCCTTTCCTTTCCCCCAGCCATGTCTGTCACATGTGTAGCAGGTGGAAATAAAATAAAATAAACAATAGAAACAAAGGTGAATCAAATAGACCAATACGGCAAGGCTGGGATGGTCCATTTGGTAAAGTAAATCCGTTGGGCATCTTTCTTGGCCTTTAGACAATTCTGATGGCAAAAAAAAAACAAATGGGACAGGCGGGAAAAGACAACGGGAGGTAAAAACTCCCTTTTAACAGGCAGAACCAGGCTCAGGGAGGGACGGCTATCTCCCATGATTGGTTGGGAGTGAGGGGAGGAGGACAGGACAAAAGACATGCTGTGGAAGAGGGCAAGAGAATAATGAAAACTCCTTAATTAAATGCAGAGTGGTGTTTAAACACATGATGCGTCCAAAGGGGTGAGAGGACAATAAAGCCCAGTTTATCATGGGAAGCCCCGAGAAGCCAGGTCTATTGCAGCATTACTAAAGGAGGACCTGTTCCAGCCTAACTATGTGCTTTATCGCTGAATCAGGCCACTTATCCAGGAATTTTAAGCCTGATTTAAAAAGTAGAGAGAGTGTCTGTCTCATAAATCCAAGCTGGGAGCTGATTCCCCAAAGAGGTGCCTGAAAGCTGAAGGCTCTGTCTCCCATTTCAGAACCACAAGTCTGACATTAATGGCCTGTATTTGTATAGCGCTTTTACTAGTCCCTAAGGACCCCAAAGCGCTTTACACAACCAGTCATCCACCCATTCACACACACATTCACACACTGGTGATGGGGAAGCTACATTGTAGCCACAGCCACCATGAATTAAAGTTGCAAAAAGATTAGAAATATTATTATGTCACACTTTTACCAAAAGCTCGCTTTGGTTTTTTGTTTTTGTTGTTTTTACAAAAATGAAGTTTAGACAGCCTTGGTGAATAAATAAGGGGAGGAGCAAAATTCAAGATTGTAGTTAAGCTTACTGTAAACAACAACAGAGACGGGATACTCCATGAGGTTGGCGTCTGACACCACCATGCAGGTGAAAGTCCTCTGGTCTTTGAGTGAGGCCTGGGTAATGAGCAGGCTGAAGTGCCTATTGATGCTGACCCGTTGAGCATAACCATCTGTGGCCTGAACTGTGGCCTGGTCACTGTGAGCCTGTTTGATTAACAGATCACCAGGTGTGCCATCATCTTTTTCCTAAAGTGTAAGGCAACAGAACAATAAGACAAAGAAGACAGGGTTTGTCAAATCTGTACAAATCTTCATTCTTCAAGCGTATTTATATAGACATGCACAAAAATAGAACAATTTTAAACAATGCATTTAAGCTTTCATTCAAGCATTCTCCAAGTAGAACGTACAAATGTATCACATATGTGCTAATTAGAATGGGTGTACACTGCTAACTCATAATGCAAAATTCAACAGGTCATCTTTGCCAGGTAATCTCTTTAATTACAGTGTGGATTAAGTGGAGCCATATTTATCTGACTTCTTTATATAAGTCTTGAAGACACTAGCTGTAGATTTATGATGGACATAAGCCTAAAGTTTTGCCCTAGACAGGACACTCTCTCATAGTTTTGTTTTATTCATTCCCTTAAGCTGGGCATGCACTGTGCAATTTGTCACACAACAACCGTGAAAAGAGTTGGATGGACATTGCTGCTCCATTGCAGCTGGCTGGTCAATGTTTTTCATTAGCAATTTAGCAAAGTTGATGGTGGTGGTGTGTGTCTGTGTGAGTGAAAGACAGAGAGGGAGAGAGAGAGAGACAGATTTTGTGTTATAAGCTTCATGTTATGGACGCACAGTGTGAGCACTCAGGTCGTGTTATGAAGGAAGGAAGGCTCAGAGTTTAGTGAGTGGGTGTGCTGGGATGTGCTAAAAGGTGGGCCTTCACAACAGGTCGCATCAGAGCACCGGGCTGTATAGTGTGAGACCATGCATTGTGACCTACGAACTTCTAATCCCTGTGATTCAATCCCACAGTTTGAGCAGAAGCTGCATAATGCGACTGAAAAAAAATTGCAGTGTATGCCCAGCTTTAGACTGGATGGTGATATTCACACAGCTGGTTGCTTACTTCACAAGTAACTCAATGTCAGTGTGTACTTACATATTTCCACTTGATGAACATCAGATCTTTCGGTGGTGGAGCTCCACCATTGCATGGCATAACAATGGTTTCTCCATACAAAGTAGTCAAGTTTGCTGTTCCCTTTACTGCATAACAAAAGACCACAAATTGTTAGAATAAATAAACATATAAAGTGCTACCATCTATCATTTAACTGGAAAAAAAAACGTACACAGGTATTTTTGAAAACGGAGATTTTCCGTTTCCGTTTTAAAAAATAATCCCGTCCACACGTAAACGCAGAAATGGTGGCAATATATTTCTAATCATGTAGAAATGTTGGCCAATCAGAAGTCTAGAAGCCTCAGTGGGAAATAGTAAACAAGGATGGGGCATAGAAGCAGAACCGAGTCGTATGTGTGGAGGGACAGTAACTGTGTGTGTATATGTAAGCATTTAAACGCTGCAGAGAGTACAATTAACAGTAACAGTATTGTAGAAATTCATTTCACCGAAACAATAATGTGGCGCACAGTATTACGTCAAAAAAGGCGCACACCCTTGACGCTGCATTTTCTGCGTTTTCTCCGTTTTTCTTGTCCACACGGAAATGCAAAAACTGAGTTTTCAAAAATATCCACCCTGGCCGGAGGTTTTAAAAATCTCAGTTTTCAGTGACCGAAAACGCCGTTTACGTGTGGACGAAAGGTGCAAACACATAGAAAAATCTACGTTTTCAAAAATACCCGGGTACGTGTGGAGGTAGCCTCAGTAACGTGTGTACAGCAACAGCTGGCATTTTGAGTACTGCTTGTTTGCACCCTGATTAGCCAAACCTGGGTACATGAACATATCCATGTAGCTCTTCTTCCCTGACTCAATCAATCCTTGTGTACATCAAACCCACTTCCAACTGCTGAGATCTTAAGAAACCCAGCAACGAAAATAATCATTAATGTACCAGTGGGTCAGTGAGCAGCTCCTCCCAACTATAACTGTCTTAAAATGCCTGGGTGTTAATAAGTGAGTCAAACTATAGCACAATATCCTGTCACTCCAAATGTGATGTGTGATACCATACATCACAACGATCATGTGTAATGTCAAAGAAGTAAGAAAATTGGTGGAAAAAGATGGATGGACAGTTAAAACAAGATTGCTTGTTTCCCTGTCCAGTTTCTTGTCACTGAATTCTGCATTTCTACAAAAAATATATATTAACTGTTAAAAACAAAGTATGTTGAAAAACTGTGAGTACAAACACTCGAATATTACTGAGTGAAATTAGCCAAAAATATAGAAAGTGAGAATGGTAAGAGACAGGCTAACAACATACAATGAAATTTTTTATTTTTTATTATGATGAAAATGTTAATGTAGCCTTGGCTATTTGTTAAGGTTTGAAGTGACTTTGTGGAGTTATTGTTCAGAATTTCACCCTGCTCAGTAGCGAGTAAAAAAACAAAACAAAACCCCAACAACTTTGTTTAGTATAGTTTTTGTGTAACTGTATAAGTTTGTTCTATAGATGTTGAATGTAGCTTTGTTTAAAGTTATACTATATGTGTAAAATTTATTTTGGCTCTAAGCAAGTTGCTGTTTGAGTTCTTTATAAAGTGCAGATGTTGCCGATCCGTGGAACCAGCACCTCAATACAGAGATGTGAGATATAACAAAATATATCAGATGATGATATCAAAACATCTATTGTTTATTTTGTGCTGTCGCAAAAGACACGGTTTACTGTAATATGTTTTCATTGACTTAGATGACAGTTTGCAATAATCACCACGGTACAGCAGAAGAACCAGGCAAAACAAATTGAGGAGCTCGTTCCTAAACGAGGGCCTACCTCTGTGGCGTGGACGTGATTCAGTTATGAAAAGTGTGACATGGAGGAGAAAACTGCACAAATTATACAAGAAAATGGTCCCCACCACAGACACAAACACAACAAACCTTCTTTGCAAGAATCACATTAAAGAGTACAGAGAGAGTTTATGAATAAGAGGCAAATATGAGCCAGGTCCTCATAATAAACCTCAGACTCAAACATTAGAACAGGCTTTTCCCTGTGGTACGCCATGTAATAAAGACTCAGAAAAATAATAATGTCTATTACAAGTTACATCTATAAATATATGGTTTCATGCAATGGCAAAAAAAAATTGCCATTGCATTTTTTGCCATTGTATCCAATCACTGGATGATTGTGTGAGTCATCCAGTGTGTGTCACTACTGGATAACACCATGTAAGGTCCATATTATTTAATCTAATCTAAATGTAAAAAAAAAGAAACTTTTGATGTGGTAATGATATAAACTATTCACTAAATTTGTAGGAATTGCACTATATAATTTTGGTCATATCGTGTAGTCCTACAAAACAGGAAGTGTAGATGGTCTCTCTGTTTAAAACACCCAGTCCAATCGAGTCCAGGGGACTTGCCTTGTTTGTTGCCTCGATCCTCTGGTTGTCTACATTGATTTAAAAAAAATAGGAGCCCCAAGTAGTCTTGCACTTCAGGTATTTACAGCTCCAGTCACTACTGAGACGCTCCAGAGAATGTGTGCAATACACTGAATACCAGATAAAGTTGTCACTGACAATGGGCCCAAGTTCTCAAATTAGGTTTTCCGATTAGACTCCGGCACATCTGCAATAAACAAAGCATTTGCTAGAAACTCTGACTACATCTTACACAACCACAGCAGAGTTGGTGATAGGAAGACATTGAAGGCAATGAAAATTTCTCTGATGCAAACTTGATATATAGTGACTATGTTCAATCTAACTCTTGCAACTTCCAAATCTCAATACTCTTTAAGGTCTTGGACTTAGGGGTGAGCGATATATCGAATATACTGTATCACAAGTTTTTCCATATATGATGGCTAAAATGGCTTTACCGTAACCATTGAGTATAAATTGCCATGGCAATACTAAGCTGTCTGCATGCAAAACACTGTGAGTGTTTTTTTTCCCAAACTCTACGAATGCATCATTAATTTCCCCCTCCCAAATGGAACATTTTCTACCTGGTACACCGTGGTGAATTTTTGCTTCATGTCCTTTTATGTTGCTGTGATCGTTTGCTGGTAAAGGTCTAGTGTTGATAACAGGAAGAAACATACTGTTGACAGTACAGTCGTTTGTAAAAAACAAAACAAAACACTGAGGGATCGATTTGAATGACTGATTGGCTAAAAATAACATTTGTTTTTGGAGGTTATTTAAACATATTGTGATATATGTCATGTATCGTGATGTAGGCAAAAAATATTGTGACATTAGATTTTCCTCAACTTGGAATGTGAATACCACAGGCTGCAGTGTTCAGAGCAGCGCGAATCCAAGCCCAAGCCTTTGATTTCAAAATTAAAAACAAACAAAACACATTTCTATTTATCTGGAAGAAAAAAAAATACCATCCGTTTTATAAAAGCACAAATTTCCTTGCTTTTAAAAACCTAAAATGTGACATATCCCTCTGTCTTTCGGAAGACCATATATAAAATCAAAGTTAAAATTATATAAATTTCTCGATCAACTTCATGCTGGCCCATGGTTAATCCTAGATGTGATGCCCTAGAGAAGCGCAGAGGGATGGAAAGGCAAGTGCCCTTGGGAATTAAGGCTAATTAATTCTATATGGGAAAATGGCCTTGTGTAGACTCAGCAGACTGTTGAGGCACCAGCATGTCTGGAGAGAAACAGAATATCCTCTTGTTCAAAATGCCTTTCATTATTTACAATTCATGTAATTAGACAAAAAATTATGCCCAGTACAAGAACTTGTTTTCTGAGGTCCGAAACATGTCCAACAGGCAAGTAAACCAATTAAAAACTAAGACAATGTGACCTGCAGATGTCCTTCCTCCTTATACATGTTAGTGTGCTTATCACAAGGCACCAGTGGTGGACCTGGCAATTCTAGTTTTCTAAGCAATGCTGAGCAATGCTGGGCAGTGAACACAGGGCCCACTAGAGGACTTTGGGTCTTCGTGCCACCATGATGAAGTCTGTGACTATTTGGTCATTGACATTCACAACTGCTGCCTTGTTCTTCCCATGTCGATACTGAACTTTTACTTTTGTGGTTCCTAAATTATGGAGGAGTTCCAGCACATAATCTGGTCCCTTTAAACCCCCCACCCCACCCACCGACCGACCAACATTAGTACCAGAGTTAGCTTCTAGTCAATGTTAATCGGTTTTCGGTGGGGGTTTTTTGAAATTGTCTTTTCTCCATGTTTTATTATTACATGTTGCAATAGGTGTCTGAAAGGTGCAGCCTGAGATGTGGTCTAACGTCTTCCCTCCAATGTTTTACCAATCGTGTTAACATTCTGTTTTTACCACATGCAATAAAAGTGTTTTCTGCCTGGGCCCAGCAGCCTTTGCCTCTGAGCCAGAGGTCCACATAAAACAAGTGGAAATTCTAACAGTCTGATAATAAATTGTGAAAACTTATAATTTGAGCATATTTGCCTTTTCTTGTGAGAACAAAACAAAACAACAACAATAGCAACTTTTAAGGTAAACATCACATAGTACTTCACAACAAAATACACCAAAGTTAACCAAACACAAGGCCAAAAAGATTCATTTTTAGCCGTATTTTAAAAGAGACCACTGAGACCACATATTTCAGAGGTAGACCCTTCCAGAGTTGCACAAGCACTGTCTACTTTAGTTTTCAGCTTTGTATGATGCACAGCCAGCAGGCCTCAACTACATGGCCTCAGGGGCATGTTAGGGACATAAAGATTTCAAAGTTTATTGATATAAGTTTGTGCTTGTCCATGAAGAACTCTAAAAGCCAGAATGTTGAAATGGACTCTAAATTTAATGGGGATCCAATGCAGGTGGGTCAGTAACAGCGTGACCTCAGTACTTGGAAGACTTTGTCAGCACCCTTGCAGCATCATTCTAAACAACTTACAGATGTTCCAAGGAGTTTTTACTTAGACAAGCGACCAGTGATTTAAGGTAATCTAAACATAATGAAATAAATGCATGCAGGGGTAGGCAACCTTTCTGATGATGAGTGGCATCTAAAATTTCCTCAGAAGTGAATGTGCCATATAATTGCATTAGCAATAAATTGAATAATGCTCTATATTAACAGTTACACACTACAT